AATTTTGGGAGTGAATACGGGGCCAAGGGGAGGGTTCAGCTGTACATCTCAGGTGACTCAACGGCACGTAACAGCAATGACATACTATGACAGGTCTGGAAGCAGGAGTGGCATCCACTTCCTAAACAACATGCCTCCAGAAATGATGAACTTTGATAAATGTTGATAGTTGTAGAGGGGCTTCAGGCTTTTTGTTCATAGGGTCGCTATGGGTCATGCTTGACTTGAAGGCAATTAACCATAACATACTGGGCCAATAGATGGCATCATGATATTGTGCTTGTTGTTATGTGCCGTCGAGTTGCCTGTGGCCCATAGTGACTCTATGCCCTGTCCTCAGCCAGTCTCACTAATTCCAACACCCCAACCCCCATTGCTCCAGTTACTGTATCAATCCATCTCACCCTCTCCTGTGCTGTCTGTCCACCCTTCTGAGCATGATGTCCTTCTCCAAGGACTGATCTCTCCTGGCCACGTGACCAAAGAATGTGAAATGGAGCTTCCAAATCCTAGCCTACAAGGGGAAACTTGGTGTCACCCTCTCCAAGACAAACTTATTTGTTTTCTTGGTGGTGCATGGTATGTTCAAGACTCTTCTTTTTGATTTCCTGGCTGCTGGTGCATTATGATAGATGGAGAAAATATTGAAGTTGTTAAGAATTTAATCTTGCTCAGATCCAAAATCACTCTTGGCACCAGAGTCAGAATCAAAAGATGAGTTGTCATGGGAAAATCAGCTGTCAGGGACCTCTCCAGAGTGCTAAAGAGCAACAGTGTCAATGTAGAGACTAAGGTGTGTCCTGTTCTTTTCTTTCCCATCAAGCATTGCTCCTTTCTCTCTTACCAGCCAGTGTCTCCTCTTCTCCCATCAGGCACTGCTCCCTTCCTTCCCATCAGGGACTGCTCCCTTCCCTCCATCAGCCACTACTCCCTTCCTTCCCATCAAGCACTGCTCCCTTCCCTCCATCAGCCACTGCTCCCTTCCCTCCCATCAGCCACTACTCCCTTCCTTCCCATCAGCCACTGCTCCCTTCCTTCCCATCAGCCACTGCTCTCTTCCCTCCCATCAGCCACTGCTCCCTTCCCTCCATCAAGCACGGCTCCCTTCCTTCCCATCAGCCACTGCTCCCTTCCCTCCATCAGCCACTGCTCCCTTCCCTCCCATCAAGCACTGCTCCCTTCCCTCC